ATTGATCTCAATAAATGGCACAACAGCTTAATGCCAGTCAACAACTGCTCCGATGTTCGGGATGATAGGACACTAGACTTTGCTGTACCGGAACAGCTCTTAAATCAATTGAGAAATGGATGATAACAGATAAATCTTTAGATTAGACTCAATTTTAAACATTTTATTAAACAACAAACTAAATACAGTATATTAATAAATGTATGTATAATAGAAACCATTAATTGATATAATGATAGCAATCACATACAGTACGGAATAACCGGTAACCTTCCGGTACAGTACAGTATTGTATGCGAAATCATTTATTTAGTAAATATTTGGTGTGCTTTCCATTGGCCACCAATTGATTGCTTTTCTTATTATAAATATCGACCGAAAGAAATGCAATATTTTTGCCGCATTTCAGAGCATTAGCTTCAATGAGAAGAGTGTCTCCCAATTGGACACCACTTAGGAATTGGACGCTTAGGTCGAGTGAAACACTGTTCACTTTCGCGAAGTGTTGCTCCCGTTGTTCACTATCAGTGACCAGAGCTGCGGTGAGCGCCAAACTGGACAACTGATCCACAATAGTGGCAGTCATTCCTCCGTGCAGTCGACCCGAGAAGTTGGTCGACCCCTCCGTCACCACCATCTCTGCACTGATGCGACCCTTGGATGCGCTCGTGATGTTCACCTGTCATGGACTCAATTGAGTGACACTTCATTGCCATCGACCACAACCACAACCACACATCTGTGAGACACTACACCACCACCAGTGTTGGGTCACCACAGCTGGTCAGATGGTGTGCCAGAGTGTGTGTGCGTGTCGTCGATGTGTCAATGAGTGGTCACCTGTTGTAAGACGCGGTCAAATCCATTGGACTCAACCAATGTCTTCAGAGTGTTTCGCATCAGAGTTGTCAGCAATTGGGACATCGTTTCAATGGATCCAATGGACAGACAGTGAGACAGACAGTCACGCAATCATACAGTGAGACAACAGCCAAACGATTGCGTCATATATTGTTTGTGATGCAAACCATTGCCTTCATATGATTGGTGCGATTGGCTGTTAAACCGATAGCAACGGCCAATGGGACTCGAGTTCGTGAGATCACGTGATAATTGACAAACATTTGAAATGNGGCCAATGGGACTCGAGTTCGTGAGATCACGTGATAATTGACAAACATTTGAAATGTTTTCGCACTCAATGAAAGGTTGAGTCAATATTTGGCAGCAGTTGTGGAGAGAGTGTTGCAGTGAATGTGTCATACGATTGCAGTCATAAGGCATATCATAACACAATCCATACTATAGTTAACAGTAATTGTAACCCAATTGCGATCACAAGCATTGTCTCAAACACTGAACACTCGCCACGAGTTAGATATTGTCCTCAAATCCAGTGATTCTGTAGCCATGTCTTCAGAGAACCGAAGACCAGTTGACTCAACAAATAGTGACCAAAATGGCGGCGAAACGGGAAGAATAGCGGCCACGAAGAGGTTGCAGAAGGAGTTAATGGATTTTGTGCTCAACTCAGACCAGTCGATGACCGCCTTTCCCGATGGCGACAATCTCTTCAGGTATTATCTGTTGTGTTGTGTCCACACAAACCAATGTCTGTATTGTATGAACAGATGGATCGCAACCATCACTGGACCCAAGGATACCGTTTTCGATGGATTGAAGTTTAAATTATTGCTCACTTTTTCGCCTAAATATCCGTTTTGTGCGCCATTTGTGGTCTTTCTTAACCATTGCTTCCATCCAAACATCAGCAGTGATGGAGACATTTGTT